CTAGCAATGGAAAGGAGCTTCTGAACTTGATAGTGATCTACCAGAAAACTACACGCAGTATTTAGTAGTGTGAAATGGAATCTTTAAAATTTAAAAAATTTCAAAAAGTGTGATAAGGTTTGCTCTTGCTAATTCTTTTGATATATATTTTGAGGTCTTGATTAGGGCAATTAGGCAAGGACCTGAACCTAGACGACTTGATCTTACATATAGCAAATGGTAAAGAGACCAAACACTTACCCTTAACAACATTACGACAGCAAGTTGGCAGAACATAAATATACACATATAACCATACACTACACTGAAGTGACTACAAAAAGCCACCCCCATTCTGGTTACAAGTCATTAAGTTATTAAAATTAGCATGATGGTCATTTTAATGACTTGGGATTTCACTCACGGTTAAATTATGACTTAGAGAAAAATATAATAAAGATGACCATCTATGCAACAGACTTTAAAGCCATTCTTAGCCTTTTAAATCCCATTTGAACTTCTAAATTGTAAAATATTTTAGGTGCATATAAAATCAGCAATTGAAATGTATGCAGTATAGAAAACCTAAAGTCAGGGATTTAGGTCAGTGGCACAAGCGCCTGCCTGGCAAGTGTAAGGTCATGAATTCGATCCCTGGCACCAAAAACAAAAAGAAAAGAAAATTAAAAACTAGGGAAATAAATTCACCCAACATCAAAAAACCTGGCAATTTTCAAATTACCAAGGTAAGTGGAAACAGATGATGATCAGCAATGGATACCAAAATTATCATGTGAAAGTTTGATGGGGAATCGTGAGCACCAAAAACAGTGAATCAGAAACCAGGAGGCATTGTGTGCCTCCTGATGGATACACAGAACGGAGACTCCACACCATTAGCATACTATTGTAATGCATGTATACGTATATTAAGTATCTAACCGTAGTGTACCCACCACCATGAGATGGGTGAACATGAACAAGGATGGAAGCAGCTAAATCTAGAACATGGGATGTTTTACAGGGAAAACTCACATCACCACTAACAAACCCTAAAAACAGAAGGAAGTAGTCTAAAGAAAAAGCAGGGTGACCAGGAAGATGGTGGAGTGGAGAAGGTGCCTCTTGACCCGAGGCCCTGAGATGGGGACAGTGTCCAGGGGCCGCCACCCTGAGTCTCTCCACCAGCCACCCCAGGAGCCTTGGATTGGAGGAACCCAGGTGCCCGGCCCAGTCCCCTGCACCGAGGGACAGGCAGCCAATGCAGAAGTGCCCAGGACTCAGCAACTGGCTGGTTTGGAGGGACACAGGAAAATGTCATGCGGAAGGAGCAGGGTGCAGTCTCGGACCTTAGCCCACCCAGGACGTCCTGGGGACACAGGCACAAAAGAAATTAGAAGGCACACGCCTGATACTTCTGAATGACGGCAACTGAAGTAAAAGACACGGCTTAGTGACTGTATTGTTTGCTTGACTTCGCATGCCTAGGTCTGGTTGTCTAGCATTTATTTAGAGCATAAAAATGTGCTAGCTTATAGTAACTATGGCTGATTTCCTACTGTCTTGTTTGAGATCCAATATCATTATTGTTTCATTTTATTGGTTTTTTAAAAATTCTCTTAAAAAAAACGCAGCTTGTGAATTCTGTGATTTATTTTAATTGTGTGTGTTTAAGAGTTAGACCATAAGATGGGCATGGTGGCTCATACCTGTAATCCCAGCACTTGGGAGGTTAGGGGGCAGTTTGAGACCAGCCCGGGCTACAAAGTAAGTTCAAGGTCAGCCTGAGCTGCATAGAGAAAAGACAAAAAAACTGTCTCAAAAGACAAAAAAACTAAAAAAGTTAGGCCACATAACAGGTATCAAGTGTCTCAAAAAGACAAAAAAACTAAAAAGTTAGGCCACATAACAGGTATCAAGTGAAGCTGTTCCTCTGGAAAGTCTCAACCAAGGCAAGATGAGAGAACTTTCTTCTTTTCCTCTGTGTGTGTGTGTGTGTGTGTGTGTGTGTGTGTGTGTGTGTAAATGGGACTGACTAGGGGATTTCTTTTTTTTTTTTTTTTTTTAATTTTATTTAAGGAGAAAAGAAAAAAAAGCAGGGAAAGGGTACAAGTTATACAGATTTACAGAAAAAAAATGAACAGTAGGAAATCACTAGTTAATGGATTACATATTGTCATCTTAGAAATAATTGTTCATGACTAGGGGATTTCAAATGACATACTCTGAACACTGTCCAATATTATAGTCTGGACGTAGTCTGATATTAAAAAATTATCAGTGGCTAGAGAATCTGTGACTAGGCTTTATTTTTAAAATTCCTTATTTGTTAGAGATATAAGTGCTTATAGGTAAGATGATGTGGTGTCTTTGTTCCTCTGTAAAATACTAGTAAGGAATATTAACAGGTGAATTCATGAATAGTGGCACATGCCTACATTCCCAGCTACTTGGGAGGCTGAGGCAGGAGAGTGAGAAGCTTAGTAAGATCCTCTCCCTAAATAATAAAATAAAATGAATAAAAAGACAACGCGGGATGTAGCCCAGCAAAGCATTCCTGGGTTCAATCCCCAGGGTTTCTAGGTTCAACACCTAATACTTCAACAAAACATTTTTAAAATGGGGAGAAATACATGAAAAGGAAATTAATACTAACAGTAAAGCTGGGTTTGTTCTATTTTATTTCTCCTCTTAGGTATGCTTGGGAAATTTCATAATAGGATATTTCTGCAAATGTCTAACAGTGGCCGGCCACGTGGCAGAAGCCTTTCTGGCTTTGTTCCTTCAGATGGCAGATGTGCTCCTGCACCTTGGCTCAGTCATAAAACAGAAGAATCTCAATGGAAATCTTCAAAGGAGAAACGGCTGGCTTGGCTCAAAGGAAATGGAGTGGTCAGCTTCTGACATCCGTGCAAGGCACCCCCGGAACTCTTCCCCGGGTGGGCTGGTGGTCAGGGGTGTGTGGCGGGGACTTGTGAGCGCTCGCGGATGGGAGCACACAGCTTTGAGTCCAGAACCCCAGGCCTATTTATCCTTGGCAAAAACTCAAGGTAGAAGATCAGTGAAAACCGTCTCTGGGTGAAGCCTCTACTGCCTTGGCTACGTGTGTTTTCATCATATTTATCTTAGCTTTTAATTATTTTTCACTTTTGGGGATTGCTCCAAGTATGCAGAGACCTCAGCTTCACTGTCCTCTGAATAATTACACATCTTTACCGTGGAATTCCAGGGAAAGCCTGCAGTAGATGGGCTACTTTTTCAACTCTCACTCTGCAGCCTGTCACTCAGGTTGCTTGAAGCTGTTTATAACTTTCTGCAGTGCTGGGCTAATCCTTATTCATAGTTTTTAAATTCTAGATAACAATGTAAGGAAGTTCTGAACATAAAACTTCTTTGTGTATGTCCACTTCTAATTCAAGCAAAGGGAATTTACAGGAAATTAAGGAAATCTCTTCAGGAGAAAAATATCAGACACATAGAACAATAAATATGAAAGTCTACATGGATCTTCAAGAAATTTAAAGATAACCAAAACTGTCATTTTTATAAGAAGTTCCTCAGTAAATTGCAACCTCAAGACATCAAATCTAAGAATTCTGCTTTTAAAACATACAGTGGTCCTTGCCCCCAAAATAAATGTTAGGGGTTGGGATACGTCTCAGTGATAAAGGCTTACCTAGCATGCATAAGGACCCTAGTTCAATTCCCCAGCACAGCAAAACAAATTTAGATCAACAACCAACCAATCAACCATGCATTCCTGAATTCCCAAGGAGAGGCCATTTCTAATGTGAGCTCAGGCTGTTGGGGACTCTTATCTTCTGATTCAAGGCTTTTGTCAAAAGAACAAGTACAGGGTAGATTTAAAGTATTTTACATCTTAAGCATCTCAGTCAACTGCCTGCCTTCTAATTAATCTCTGCAACCAGGTGATGCTGGCAGCCACGCCCACACCCTCACACTTCAGCAATCACAGAAAGCCACTTGGTGCTGTCTTACTACAAACGCAACTGCAGAGTACTGATCACTGACTCGCTCCCCAAAACCCAGAGTGCATGCCTCTGGGTTGATAAAATGCTAGTGAAACTACCAGGTCCAGCTGCAGTCAACAAAACACCCCAGGTGCTTAGGGCCCAGCGGAGGGTGTGGCCACGAGCTCTGCACAGTGTCTTTGCAGTTTGCTGGATGCAGAAATACAAACCTAAAAATTAGTTCTGAACCAACTCTGAGCAGGATACTGATGATTTCAGTGCAGCCCGAGCCCTGGGGTGCATGTCCCGGCTCTGCAGGGAGCACGCAGTAGACAGAGGTAGAGGAAAGCTGGAAGCTTCCTTCCCCCCAAGCCATGGCTTGGCTTCCTGCAAAACTAAACGGTGGCTGCACTAACTATCTCACTGCATACCCTCGTCAGCCTACTCCCAATTTTCATTTGCCTAGAAAATAACATTTAGCTAGTCAAGAATTTCTCGTTTTTTAGCCATGTAAAGGGGAAGCAATTTGAGTATGATTTCAGACACTGAGCACCTGCCTGAAAGGAGGTAAAACTGGCTCTGCGTCCACACAGCTTCTACTACAAATCTTGTACTAATGCTTGAGATCTAAAATTCTTCCAGCTGGGATGCCCAAAGCTTCTCGCTGAGCACTCTTTGTCCCGGGCACTAGGCCACAGGAGAGGTGCTGCACTTAAGAAGGTCCTGGTGGGGGCACAAAGACGCACGACTCTCCTGGCCTGGTACAACTGAGGTCACATGGATACAGGTGCTCAGGCTGCTAACTCAGTCACATCGCCTGAGTGCATGTGATGCAGTTTAGTGCAGTCCCCTCAATTATTCATGCTAGCAGATTGGGAAGCTGCCTGACAGTGAGGCAGGCAGTCTGTTCCCCCTTTATAAATGTGAAAGAGAAGCGCCCACCTGGCAGCCGAGGAAGGATCGCTGAGAGTTCAGGGCAGCCAGAACTAAGCAGTGAGCCCCTCTCTCCAGGCTGTCCTGCAACCCCAGCCCAGGGCCCAAGTCACTCACTCCTCGTTGAGTGCGCAGCGCCGGTTGGTGAGTGTGCCATGCTTGTGCAGGGTCTCCCTGAGCTCGGTGTAGAGCTGGTCAGCCAGGCTGCGCGGGATCGCGTCCCACACCATGATCATCACCAGGATCACAGCCGCGGAACACGTGTGGCCCGTGCGCTCCCGAACCAGGCACAGCAGCTTCTCCTTGGACGAGCTCCTGCGGAACACCTGCGGGTCGCCAGCCACCCCGCACCCACCACCCCACAGCACAGGGTTACTGTGGGCAGGGGGCATAAGGCTTCACCCACGTGTTCATATCCGAGCCCAAAGCAGGGTGACACGCAGCCACACCTGCAATTGCCTTTCTGGCTTCCACGCCACAGGCCACCCAGGGGTTAGGGAGGTGGGGATTCACCAGCCCTTAGTGCTGAGCAGGCTTCATCCACTGCATGAGCCTGGCACATGGAAGGCTGAGGCAGGAGGATCGCCAAGCGTTCAAGGCCAGCCAAGGCTACACAGTGAGCTCCTGAACTATATAGCAAGACCTTGTCTCAAAAAGCAAAAAACAGGCAGGATGGGTGGGGTAGCTCAGCAGTTTAAGTGCCTGCTTGGCAAACATGAGCTCTTGAGTTCGATTCCCAGCACGCGCGCGCGCACACACACACACACACACACAAAGACAAGCTACAGGTAGATAAGACATGCAGGCGCTGAGTTCAGGGGTTTCATAAATGACAACTTTAGGGACACTGGGGGCATTTAATAGATAAAGGACTATTTCTTCATATTCCAAGGATTCTTTAAGCAGACAATAGAATGGACCTTCAGCTCCCTACTGAAACTTTCAATTAAACAAGTCCATTCGTGATCTTAAAATGAATCTGCCTTCTTATTAACAGAGAATATGTGGTAAACAGTGTTCCTGTCAGCTGGCCTGGGCTTTGACCTGGTGACCCAGTTCTCAGGGTTAATCAAAATTCCCAGGCCTGGGGACCCAACGCACTTCAAGCCACACTTACCCATTTAGCAATAGGACATCCCTGAGAGCTTTTGCCTTCTTTACCAGTATAGATGATTTTTTCAATCCTAATAGCTTTACCCTTCTGTCCAAACCTTAAAGAAACCCACAGAAATACACACAAACAAAATTAGCAAATGATTTCCAGAAGCAGCCAAAATATTTGAACATCTGAGCATAATTTTATTCTACAACCACACCCTGAGAAAATGAATGGTTTAATTTATTTTAAAAAAAACAGTTCTAAGCCAAGCAAACTGGGTAATACTCTTGTTTTTCTTTTGCATCAAAATATACTGAACATTGTAACTGTTTTATAACTTTGTTGGGTGAAGATAATGGGAAGGCTTATTTTTATTCGTAATTTCACAAAGCACAAGATTTAGGTTAGTTTACATTTGGCCTTGCAAAAAAAAATGTGCTATTTTATTTCTGTCCTTTTCTAAACTCAGCTGTTTTAAAACTTAAGGAATCATCACAGGTTTTTGCTAGAACCATTCTTCAATCAATGCTGCCATGTTTTTTTAAAGGCATGACCAATAAGTAGCATCCAGCCACACTGAAAATACCGGACAGCTCCTGAAATAGACTATTTCACCTTATGACAAAAATATGAGGTGCTGTTTGCTAATAAAAGTACAATCACAGAAACTCACTACTTCTGGTAGGGTCCTAGCTGGGTGGCTTGAGTAAGTTTGTACATGATAATTCTGAAGTTAACACCTTGGAACTAGAGCGAGGATGATACTGAATGTGTTCCTGCTGCCCCTGCAATGCCTATGGACGGTGCCCTCCAGGACACCCTACTGGAGTGCCAGGGCTCTAGTTGGCACCTGCACTGATCGGCTTGTTTCTAGGGTCTTGCACAAGTTAGCTGTCGTACAGGCACACGCTTTGCATATCTGGGACTGGCAACGAAACAACACATGGGAACAAAGCAGCTACCCATGGACTCTGCCCCTCGGCACTGCGCTAGGGGAGTGAGCTCACCCCTACCCTCTGTACCCTGCTGTTTACATCCTGCGCCCAGCAGGCTGGTGGCTGGCTGACTGTCATTCATGCCTGTGTCTGCTGGCATCTGTCTCAAAGTGGGCAGCCTGTGCCAGCGAGCACACGATTAGCCCTGTCAAATATTGTGACTGTCTGGGGAACGCACGGTGCGGTGTTGGCAACCCCGGGGGAGCTGAGCTGGCTGATTATCACTGCACTGCGCGGGGAGACTGGGAAAGTCTGACATGTACAAAAGGATAAACGGTAATCTGCCCTGTGCCTTTGCATTAATTACCTTTCTTCCATGATTTCTCTAATAGCTGCCACATTAGGACCTGCTCCTAGATGGGTATAAAAAGGACCTTCATCTTTTTCAATAATTTGCTCTGTTGAGATAATAGAAGATTATTATTTTAGACCTCAATTATACTAAATATAAAGGCTACATCCACAAAGATTATCCCCCAGTGCCACAGTAAGGGCCTTTAGTGACTTTTAAAATTTTCCTTTCTTGCAAATGAATGGACTGGTCTCTTGGCAAATGTGCCAAATAACTAGGTATGTGTACATGATGGCCACTGGAAAAAAATATTAAGTTACATTTCAGATATAGTATAAGGAATTATTTTAAGCCCATTAAGTGGGACTGAGTAAAGAAAATAGTAGAGAAATTAGAATGTTATATGTAATATAATTTAGGTTTTTAAATTGAAAATAAAAAATTATAAAGCTACCTGGAAGCCTTCCTACCATTTGGATATAAAAGACTTAAAATATTTTTTCCTGACCCATCCCACCCCCCAGATATTACTAGGTTTTACTGTCAAAGATGTCCTTTTCTGGCCATTTTCCCCTAAGATTTAATTACTCTGCTTTGAAAATAAGAATAGGCAACCCAGACCCATGCTTTTGTGTGTTGCAGCAGTGATGGGCGTCAGGGTAAAAGGCAGAGGGCTGACTGCTGAGCACCAGCGACGGAGGACTGGGGCTTAGGAGGAGGGCTGGCCGGAACTACCCACTATGAGGAGGACGTGGGTGGCACTTCTGCCCGCCACACCGAGAGGGGCAGGAGGGTGCCTCTGTCATTCCACAAAGTATAGAGGAATGGCAGCCTGCAGCTATCACCTCGTATCTTTGACACTGGCCCCTCTGCGTGGCTTCCACCCATAGCCAAGTGGATTCTGTCACTAAAGTCACTGCCCATGTGCAGATCCGAATCCACGGGCAAAAATGTCCCCTCATGCTCAGACTCTTTGCACTCTCAATTTGAATAAAAAGCTGTCATTTTAAAAAATTCCAGTTTTACCAAGAAAGGTGAAGTGTTAAAGAGAAAATAGAATCAAAATTAGTGTAAAATACAGTTTTCAGTGTATAAACAGTTAAAAGGGATAACTTTGCGAGTACCCCAGGATCTCAGCATTAGAATTTCCCCAACTCACCAAGAATAAAGAATTAATTTTCTCAGTACTCAGAAATCTGGTAACTACTAATATGTTTAAACTTGAATTTTTAAAAATTACCAGTTCCTATATTAGTTTGCATGTGGCAATTACTTTTTAATATTAATAGATTTTTCTTTCCCCTGGCGGTATGTCTGTCTAGGAAAATGATTTCAGGATTCAATAGGTGGATTAATGTAAAACAGATACACTTCTATTTTAAAGGGTCTTTAAAAAATAGAGGGGAAAATTAATGGGCACAATTGTTTCCCTTTTTTGGAAAAGCACTGCATGAGGTTTTTCTCACATAGCACAAGGATCTGTAATTTAAAAGACAAAAATGTAAACTGCAGAGTTTTGTGAGCCTATTCAAACTGCTCCCAGACTCGGCATTTTAAAAAAAGGAAAAGAAAGAAAAAGAAAATCTCATATCTGAAGACACGTCTGTTAGGGAAGCACCAAGTGCTTCAGGCCACGCCTGGACTTACCTACACATCGGCATGATGGGAACTCATACTGAGTTTTCATAGTTGTTTCCAACAAATTCTTTATAGAGGGGTCTAGCAATTTGGAAGGTGACTCTATGAAAGTGTTGAGAACAGAGCCAGCTGTTCTTTTGGTTGGCGTCTTTTCAGGAGCTGCATGCGGCTCTCTGGCTGGGGCGTGGCCGTTGAGCTCTGCAGCAGTTGTTTGTCTCGACAGCACCGTGATGGGCCCCAAGGTCTCAACTTTTATTTGTTTCTGTGATTTGAGGGCAAAAGCCTTACGGTCGAACAAGGATTTGACCGGAAACTGCTTTAGATGCTGCTCCATGGTCTCCAGGATGCTCTTGGACGGCACGTGGTCAGAGGCCCTGGCGGGAGCCTCTTGCCTGGGCGGCTTCTTCCACGTTTTGGAGTCTTGCTGCCCTGACACAGGGCGCATACAGGCAGTGGGCTTGGTCCCGGGCTCCAGCTTAATTGGCCGGTTCGTCTGGGTGGGACCAGGCTCTGCCTGGGACTGCTTCCCTTGCTGCTGGCCATGTCTGTGTAAGAGGTGCCACCGCAGGGCCGCGTGCCTGTTAATGTCCTTCTGGGGAGGAGTCTGAGCATGACTCTGAGCCTGCTCGGGCACAGGAGAAGCCTTGGCTTGGCTATGCATCAAGTATCTCTGCTGCGCCAGCTGTGCAGCCTGTGGTGTGGGCACCTCTTGACTTCTGTTTGTGTATCTGTGGAAAGTTAGGGCTTGTGGCTGCTTCTGCTCTTGTTTTTGAAAGCACCTGTGCAGAACACCTTGCCCTGGAGTCACATTGTTTGGAACATATTGCATGGGGTGCAAGGGCTGTGTTTTAGTTCTTGCAAAGAGTTCTGAACGTAGACTTTGTTCTTTATTCTCTGGAACGAAGTGTGTGTTTTTTGAACAGGAAATCTGAGTTTTGCTTGGACTTGATTTCAAGTCCTGCCCATATGGGGAATTTGTACTACTCCCATTCTGTCCTTTCTCCAATCCTGCTTGGGTGTTCTGAGTTTGGAACTCACTTGCTTTTGAATACTCATTTTCCCCACCAAAGCATTCTTCTACCTTAATGTGGTCAAACAATGATTCTTCTCTTTGCAGATCACTGTTACCTTGTGGATGAGGAAAAGCCTGAGGCATTTGTTCTTTATTCTGCATTTGTAATTGCTGCTGCTGCTGCTGCTGTGGCTTCTGCTGCTGGTTTTGAGGGAACTGTGAATTTGGGGGTGGTTGTGTTTGTACTGCCTGCTTAGAGGGCTTGTGTTGTGAAAGGTGCGAGTTTGAAAACGGCTCTGGCTCTGAAGCCTGTATATTCAAGTGCTGTTTTAACAACGGGGATTGCAGTCTCTCGGCTTGGCGATCTGTGACCTGCTGGAAATGATATCGAGGGGTGCACAGTGCCTGTGCGCAGGCTTCAGGCGGGACATCTGTCTTGGAGATGTGGCCCTGGTGAGAGAGGAGGGGGAACTGGAGATGCTGGTCCACCGTACCTTGCGGCTGCCTGTGACTCACGTCACTGTGGAACACCTGGGAATTCTGCGGCGCTGGTGCTGGTGCTGGCGCTGCCTGTGGGACGTAAGCCTGCTTCGCAAGGCCCCCAGGAACGGAGTTTCCAGTGTATGTTCTAGAGGTCGTCTGCACAGCAGGTTTGGGCTGATACTGAAGCACGGAGCACAACGATGGCTTGCTGCATTTTGGATGAGATTCAGCTTGATAAAAATGAGGGGCCTTCAACTCGATCCATCCCGGATTCACATAGTGCTGGGCTGGGGGCATGAGACCTTGAGTGTGTTGCTGGTCTTGATTCTGCAGAATCTCCATCTCTTTGTGTCCAAGCAGTGGTGGGCAGGGCTCCTGCACCTCTCTCCCATGAGCAAGGGCAGGTGGGTTGTGCTTGAGATGGTCCAGATGGTCTGGTGTTGGCCTTGCTTTCTCAGTACACAGGGGCACAGGCCCCAGCACGCCTGTGCCATTTTGATGGACACCATGACTCTGAGGCCCTTCTGGAGGCCTCAGGCTGGGGCTGGACGCAGGCAGCGATGGATTGGGACTCTGGGATGGTGGAGCCTCAGGTTGGCCCTCTAGTTTCACTTCCCTTAGGACAGTTATGTTGCTTTGGTTGGGGAGCTGGTGGTGCTCTTCCCAGACGGTGTCCTGCAGAGCGGCTTTTCCTTTGGAAGGAGGAGGGGGAGGAGGAAGCAACTGTGGCAGAGGTGGTGCGGTAGTGGCAGAAGGAGAAGCCCTAGGGAACACTGAGCTTTGCTTGGGGTAAGCACCATTCATTTCATTTTGCTGTAAATACTGTTCAGAGCTGCTGTCAGCAGCTCGAAAGTTGCTGCTGGACCCTGCACCCAGTCCCTCCAAAGACACTGGCACTGCATTCCGCTGCATGTCACTGCTCTGGGCAGGACAGGAGCAGATCTCCAGCGCTGGCTCTTGTGGCTGGAGCTGTGCCGGCCTCTGGAGGGGACAGGTATCTGGCACTGCAGCTGGTGGCCTGGCATGACCCGTGTCGCAGGCCTCGGTCCCCACCGCAGCTGGCTCTGGGGGCAGCTCGGAGCCCGAGGGGTGTGGGCACTGGATGTGCCCTGAGGTATGCGATGGGTGAGCGACCTTGCAGGAGGACTCAGGAGAAGCCTGGCCATCGATGGTGTTGCTGTGAGATGTGGTTTTCTGCACTGCAGTGGAAACACAATCTGTATCACATTGGGACAGTGTTTTTTCCAGGAGTTCACCGTGTGCGTTTTCCAGGGAAGAGGCAGAATCTGTAGCACCATTAGGCATGAGCGCTGCCTTGCTCTTCAGAGGTAACGCAATGTCCTCAGCATCTTTCTGCTCCTGCTCTCGCAGAACCGGATGCACCGAGTTTTCCGACCCATTGCAGTCAAGTGTTGGCAAAGTCGTGAGATCTTCAGCTACATTTTCTTGGGCTCTGGAGCTCACGGATTCTCTGTTCTCATTCACATCAGAGGTGTGGGATTGGCTGCACCCAGCTGGGTTTCTTTCCTGACTCTCCCCGAGGTGTTTTCTTTCTCTGTTGGCTTTCTGGTCTTGTCTCAACTTCTTGTTCTGATGGAGCCCAGAGAGAGACGGTTCACTCACTGTACGTTTTATACCCCCGTTTTCCAGACACCTGGAAAAGCCTCTGTCCTCATGGAGGAAGTCAGGACTGGCGCGGCCGCTTGGGGGAACCCCAGACCAACTCTTCAGGGTCTGCCACCTGGTGTTCCTGTTCACCTCGGGGTGAGGCTGCTCGGGGACGGGGCTTCCGTTCTGCAGCTTGGTGGCCAGGGGCTCGAGCTGACAGGCAGGAGCTGTTGCTGGGATCAGGAATGGACTGAGTGTACTGCCCGCCACATGGCTGCTTCTGTCCTGTTCCATCAGGCTTCCTCTCGGCCATCCACGAGGTTGCCCTCTGAGTGAATCCTAAGGGCAAGGAAACAAACATGGCAGTGCATGAATATATAACTATGCCCAGTGATACATTTGAGAAACTGCTGCATAAATACATAGGAAACCCAGACAGTGCAGTGAGGGGGACCCGAGTGTCACTGCTACAGGAAGTGGCAGTTCTTGTCTGCCCAGCAATTCTCAAACCTTATGGCCAAGGAGAACCAGAGGGACCAAAAGCATCAGCAGACGGAACTGAGACTGCTTTCTGTCTTTCCTTCTGCCCTGTCTCTTGGTTCATAATCCAAGGATAACAGCTTAGATGAGCCCAAACCAGAAGGTCTCTTTCCAAACTCCACCCTTACTGGGGCTCAAACCCTGGGCTCGTGCCTGCTAGGAAGTGCTCTACTGCCCAGCTACATGTTCAGCCCTTTTGGTTTGAGACAGGGTTTCACTAGGTAGCCTGGTCTGATACTAACTTGTGATCCTCCTGCCTCAGTCTCCTAGGTAGTTAGTGTTATATGCATGGGCTACCATGCCTGGGGTTCAGATTGCTGGTTTTAGTTGGAATTGTCTTTGATATGCCAAGAGAATTATTCATTTCTGTTCCTATCGGTAATTTGAATGGTTACAGGCCCATTGCTGCACAAACCACTCTCCGTTATACTTTATTCTTTCTCACAGAGCTGTGAATTCCCCAGGAACAGACCTTTTTCACACCTTTGTGCCTGAAGAATGGGTATCCAGTAAGAATCAAAGACTGGCATGAATCTGCCCATGTATGGTCATTGTTATGCATGCAAGTATATTTGAGATTGATGAACATTTCCAAGTCCACACAGGTCGGGGTGGGGCGGAGCTGGAGATGTGCTCTATAACTGACCAAGAAACATTTATCTCAAAAACAAATTCACAGACTGAAAGTGAAAGGATGGAAAACAATATTTCTTGTGATGAGAACATGGGAAAAAGCAGGGATAGCTACTTTATTTGCAGGTGAAATGAACTGCAATCAAGACTGAACTAAAGAGACAAGCAAGGTCACTACACACTTAAGGGGAAACTCCAAGAGGATAAATGTGTGCACCAAATAGTGATGCAACCTAACTGTGTAAAACAAATATTAACAGACATGAGAAATCAAATAAGCACTAACACAATTATCAGGAACCTCAATACCCCATTGTCACAAACAGGTCAACTAGGAAAAAAAAAAAGAAATATCAGAACTGAACCAGACCTATGAGCAAATCAATTTAGTAGATGACTACAAAGTATGCTATACCACAACATCAGAATACACACAGTTCTCAGCTGCAAGAGCTGTGGTCCAAAGCAGACCACATATACGAGCTCACAGAACATGCTTTAGAAAATGCAAAAGAACTGAAATCATCCCATGCATATTTTGGACCCTAGTGCAATTAAATTGGAAATCAATAGCCAAAAGAAACCACAAGAACACATGGCAATTAAATAATACCCTACTGAACAACCAATGGGTCACAGATGAATTTAAAGAAGAAATTAGGCAGTTTCTACAATTAAAGAATAATGCTGATACAAGATACCAGAACTTATGTGACATAATGAAAGCAGTCTTACAAGGGAAATTTATAGTGGTGAATATCAATGTCAAGAAAACAGAGCAAGCCCAAATAAACCACTTAATGTTGAACCTCAAACTTGTAGAAAAAGAGCAAGTCAAGCCCATGCAGGAGGAAATTATAAAAATCAGAGCAGAAATTAATGGAATGGAGACTAAGAAAGCAATACAAAAAATATCAATGAATCAAAGAATTGGTTCTTTGACAGATTAAATAAAATTGATAAACCTTTAGCCAATCTAATTTTTTTAAAAAAGGAAAGACTCAAATTCATGCAATTAGGAACGAAAAGGGTGAAATCACAAAAGATCCTGCAGAAATCCTTTGACATCATCAACACCTACATTTACCTTCAGGAAAATGTAGGCAAAAATGGACAGAGTCCTAGATACATAAGAATTACCAAAACTGAACCACATAAAAATTCTAAGTCAGTATCAGTCAATGAAATTAAAAATATAAAGATCTACTGGCAAAGAAAAGCTCAGGTCCTGAAGAATTCACAGTCATTCCGGTAAGCAAGTACAGTGGGCTTCCAGGTAATGACCAGTCGGTCTCACATTAAAATAACTTGGGGTACGACCAAAGTCTTGAGTTAGTACCTGAATGCGAGCCACTTGTGCAGCTGTAAATAAAAAGTTGGGATTAATGATGTTCCTATGGGAGGGGCCTCTCCTTCCATGACCACCTTCCATTTCATTCTCCCTTTCTGCAAGCCAAAGGTGTCTACTTGAATGGTGAGCACAGTAGGAAACTGTTTCTGGTAAACTAGGTACATTTTATAATATTTTGGTGAGTACACTAGGAAAATTATGGGTGTTTCTGGTAAATTATGCACACTATACAACCATTTATCATGAAAAGGGAGGCTTTGAAAGTTTGGAATGCATTGAGTATTTCCATTATTTCTTATGGGAAAAGTAATCTTGACTCACAACCAACGAGTTATAAACAGTCCTTGTGAACAAATTGATTTTATGAGTCCAGGGTCCATTATAATATCCATACCAAAATCAGAGAATGGTCAAACCAAAAAGAACTGCAGGTCAGTCTCCTCAATGAATATAGACACAAAAACCCTCAATTAAGATACTGGCAAACAGAATGTCGAAAATCATCAAGATCATATACCATGATCAAGTAGGATTCATTCCAGGAATGCAGGGATGGTTTGACATACACAAATCAATAAATGTAATACATCATATTAACAGAACCAAAGACAAAAATCACATGATCATGTCAAGAGATCAGAAAACATATTTTGCTGGGGATTTAGCTCAGCTGCATAAGTGCCTACCTTGCAAGCAGGCAGTTGTGAGTACGGTCCCTGTTACTGATAATTTTAAAAAAACATTTAATAAAGTCTAACAAAAAACCCTATAGAAAATTAGAATGGTCTTTATGACAAACAGCTATCATACTAAATGGCCAAAAACTGAAAGCTTTCACTCTAAAATCAGGAAAAAGACAAGGATGTTTACTGTCACTCTTATTCAGTACAGTTCTTGAAATATTAGCCAGAGCAATTAGACAAGAGAGAGAAATAAAAAAGATAGGAAAAAGAAGTTAAATTTTAATTATTTGCAGATGACATGATACTCTCCATAAATGAGCCCAAAATCTCCAAAGGATTTCTAGATTTAATAATCAAAATCAATAGCATAACTGGATACAAATTCAACAATTAAAATCAATAGCACTCCTACATAAGAATCACAAACTCATTAAGGGACAAATTAGGGAAATAACATCTTTCACTATAGCATTGAAAAAAAATGACATACTTAGGACTCCGTCTAACAAAGGAAATAAAAAATCTCTACATTGGGATTGGGGATTTAGTTCAGCGGCATAAGCGCCTGCATCCAGTACTGATTTAAAAAAGGAGACTGAAGCAGATTATCTATCAGAAAATTGAAAGATAGCCCTTATTCTTGGGTAGGAAGAACCAATATAGTTAAAATGGCTATACTCAAAATTGTTATACAGATTTAATGCCATATCAAAACACAAACAGCACACCTCGCAGAATTAGAAAAATATATTTCTAAAATTCATTTGGAATCAGAAGAGACCTAGCTAAAAGCAATTCTGGGCTACAAAGCCAAGACAGGGGCATTAAAATTCTGCTACAAGTTACTGTGATAAAAACAGCGTGGCACTTAAAAAACAAAACCCAAGGATCAATGGAATAGACTAGAAGTGGGAGAAACAACTCCACGCACACGCAGCCATCTTATCTTTGAGAAGTGGAAGACTTTGACAATGTGGAAGGACGGAACAAATAGTGCTGGAAAAACTGGCTTTGCACATGCTAAAAATTAAAACTAGACCCAAAGTGGATCAAAGATCTATACATTAAAACAGAGACACTAAGTCTTCTGGAAGTGGATAGGTAGAACTATTGAAGATATTGGTGCAGATAAGGATTTTGGGGAGAAGGGGGGGCAAAGATTTTATGAAAAAGCCAATTTGCTCTTCTCATGAGCCAGCAGCAGCCATGCAGGGTCAGGAAGAGAAACAGAAGCCGTTCTGTCCTTCTTGTGGGCCAGCTGGTGCGCAGGCTGGGAGACAGTAACACCCTCGCCTTCCCGCCCCTAAGCAACTGGCTGATTCAGAGGAACACAGGCTGAGGTGATAGCAACTTAATTCTGGTACTGTGTGATTTGATTGACTCTGCAGGCTGGGGGCAGGCAGTCTGAGCATCTGTTTAGTGGATAACAATATCCAGCATAGCAACTATGGGAGATTTCCTTTTGTCTTGTTGTTGAAATTCACTATTGTAGACTGATGTGGTGGCTCACTAATCCCAGCACTGAGGAGGCTGAGGCTGGAGGATCGTTGGGAGTTCAAGACCAGCCTGGGCTACAAAGTGTGTTCAAGGCTGGCATGAACTGCATAGTGAGAACCTCTCTCAATGGGAAAAAAAAAAAAAAAAAGCAAAGGTTGAAAAGCAGGGAGGGGAAAGGGAAAAACAGAAGAATCAAGATTTATGATGAACAGGTACAAATTCCCTAAGATGAATGACAATAAACTTCATTAAAAATTAAGGGTGCTGGCTAACGCATCAGTTTCCATTCAAAATACAGTCATTATTTTCCCACGGTCCTTCTGGTCACATTTATTTTAAGGATGTAAACAGAAAAGGAGTATTTTCTACTTCGGCTAAAAACAAAACTCTATTAAAAATAGCCACTGCTTATTTAAAAAGACAAATAAAAAACAGGAAAAACAAGATAGAAACATTTAAAAGGCAATTTTGCTGGACGGGAAACCAAGAGAACCCGGAGAAACCTCAGAGCTTCTGAGAACCCAGGAAAGCCGTGAATGACACAAGCGCAGCCTGACACTTCATCACAATAAAACATGGTAGTTATAACAGAAAAATTAATCTTTTGAAGGTCAGTGTGCAGTTCAGTCTGGACT